AGAGGGAGGGGGGGTGAGAGGGTGAGAGGGAGATGATGAGTGCCAGCTCGATACCCCAGAATTATCAAGCTTTATCTGCTCAGTACCTCGCTCTGAGAAATTGAAATTTGACGTAAATTTTTCTTCTTTTTTTTTGAGTTTTAAAGCATGTCATACGTTTTCGAAAGCAATTCTTTGAATATCTTGATGACGTCTCCCAATAATTTTTATGATTTTGATAGAGCAAATAGAACAGTTTGGTTTCAAACCTCATGTTTTAGTAACTCAAAAAGGTTAAAAATGTCAGATAGAACATTGTAATTCTGAAGTAGCGCCAGGCAGGTCATACTTCTTGTCTTACTATATGTTGTTTCTATTGGCCTGACTGTGTCAGACTGTGTCTTTCTCTGCATCTCCTCTTTTTTCATCTTTACTCAAGCCAAACGCACAAAAACCTTTCGCTTTTATTAATAAGACTAAGAGGTGAGAGAGGAAGAGGATCTACAGGTTACAGTCAGTGGTATGGCATTGGAAAGGTTTGATGCCCCTGTGAACAGTGGACGGTTATTCAGTATGCAGGGGCCTCAAACAGGAAATGGTGAGAGGAATCTTGAAGACACTTTTTCCTTCCTTCCTTCCTTCCTTTCTTCCTTCCTTCCTTCATTCCTTCCTTCCTTCCTACCTTCCTTCCTTCCTTCCTTCCTTCCTACCTACCTTCCTTCCTTCCTTCCTTCCTTGATGCCTTCCTTAACAGCCCTGGGTTCAAAAGTGACTGGTTGGGAATTCGAACCAGGGACCTTTTCCCCAAAACTAGGACGATACTGATTTGCTTGTTTGTTCGACGAGGCGTTATACATCTTACATCAGATTGAATCAAATGAAATCGAAAAATCTGTATTTAAAAAATGAAGTCATATCCCAAAATGGAGCATCTTCAAGCCTTGGCGGATGTCCAGAACATACGTCCTCGATGAGTTTATTGCATGAAGAGTTTAAGCAAGTGACTTAAAATGTCTAAAGCCTCGTCGAACAGATCCGATATATTGGGAAGCAGGTTGCTGGGATACTATACCAGCTGAAAGGAGAATATGTCTTGAAGAGAAAAAGAAGAATTAGAGATAAAAGATGATTTGTAGCATCTGCTATGGTCAAGAGGACCAATGAGCGTAGAGTTTGCACATTTTCCACATTAAAAGGTAGTGCCGGTAGTTTAGTGGTCACGCTACCGGACACGTAATCGTGAGGCTGCGAGTTCTGGGGGTTCGAATCTCATCTCGGCCCGACGTTGCGTCTTTGGGGAATACTCTTTACGTGAATTTCCCATTTGGCTCGGTCCTTTCAGATGTGAATGTTAAACTCGGAGGTCCCGCCTCTTATATAGCCTGATAGTGTTGAGAGGGGCGGTAAACATATAACATTTCACCATTTTTTCACTACATTAAAACTTTCATTTCCACCCAAGATGTTCACTACGTGCAGGCCTTTCTCTTAGCTTCATTATTTCTAACGGCTTTTCTTTATTATAAAAATGACAGTTTAAATGGACGTGAAAACTGTAGTACTAAAGAAAACAAACAGAACCCAAACAATGAAGTTACCCAAATAAGACTTGTATTGCAGCAAAAATCACCGTGGGACACAATACTCTCCCTTTACTGGCTATTGAACTTGTATAGAAACCTTGATGTTGTCTTTGACACGTTCATGTTTGGGATCAAAACCCAATTAGATGAAAAATATATTCTCGTAACTGGAGTTCCAATAGTTTTGTTTTTCATCTGAACTTGCATGTTTTTATTTTTATTTCTTTAATGAAAGATACTTCTCTCAATTCTTAAAGAGAACATGTAAACAAGAGGTATAATATCTTGTTAGGATTCTAGCTTTCTAATGAGCTTAATAAGATAATAGGTTTAATTGGGAAACTTCCTTTCAGTAAGTAGGACAAGTTAATCCCCACATTCATGGTAGATCTCGTCACTAGATGGGTTTAGTTGTCTGTTGTTTTTGTCTTGGTTTTTTCTTTTTGTAAGTGTATCATCAAAGCAAAGAAATTTGCGAAAAGGATATCATTTAAAAATTTCTCTTCAGCAGTGTCTTGTCAGGACAAGTAGAAAATTCACCTTCGGGCTAAGAAGTGACTCTCATTACAAGTGTTACAGCCTTAAAATCGAGTTTTTCGCAAGCTTGCTGTTTGAACCGGTGAGCAGATTATCTTGGGAGTTGCAACTCTTTAGGACTTGTGGTTTCTCTCTTCTCTGATTGTCTTTATCAATGTAAAAAAAAAATGGTAGATTCGTCGAGAGCAATAAATTGTCTCGGATTCAGAAGTCGAATGGCATAAAATATGACCAAAATGTCAATATGCGTATTGTACATTTCCTTTGGAAGCTTGTGACTTGCGATGAGTCGACGTTTAAAATTCCAAATTTCTTCTGGGGTACAGTTTTCCGTTGCGCATCGGCCTGTTGAAGAGAAGATAAAAATAGGACAGAAAAATTGTTAGCTATGCCTCATGACGCTGACCTTTTAAAAGTTTTGATAAAACAAAGAGACACTTTTTGAGGTAAAGAGGGGTTTTACGCTAATTACAACACAGCATAGATATCTACGACTACGAAACAGGACACCCGATTCTAAAGTAAGTCGCCAATAGAACCAAAACAACAGAGTGAAAACAACAATATTAACACGCAAACAAACCAAACAAAACCCAAAGCAATAACGAAAGAACTCAGCTGATTCAATGCATTTAACACACATACACTCATCGAATCAAACACTGAATGAATGCAATACCGGTGCAAGCAGTCTACGAGGTACGTAAAATGTTTCACAGCAGCAAGGTCATTAAGGTAACATCGTACATACCCTTGCTGTCCCATCTCTTCTTGTATTGTCTAGTCCACTCGACCCCCCCCTCTTTCGCCGAAAAGCCAACATCCTTGTATTTCCTTACCCCTCCGTATCTCCCTTTCTCCCTACTTACCCCCCTTCCTTTCTTCCTTCTTACCCCTCAATATCCCTCTTTACCCCTCCTTATCCGTCCCTACCCCTCCTTCGTTATCCCTTTTTAACCCTAATTACCCCTCCTCCCCCCCTCCCTCTTTCTCCCTCCTTTTCACTCTTACTCCCTCCTTACCCCTGCTCCTGCTCCATCTTGCGGAGTTTCCCTCGGTACCGCTCCAGCGCCTGCTTGTGTCTCCGAATGTTCTTCCTGTAGGCAGAGATGAGGTCGTGGCGTGCCAGAACCATGGCGGCACGGCGTTCTTCTGCCAGGAGGTCTCGTAAGCTGTCTCCTGGACACACAACAGCGGTTCTTTAGTATTTGGTCACCTTTAGGGACAAGCCGGCTAACCCAGATTTCAACGGTTTCCAGAAATCTTGACCTACACCAAAAGTGGGCATTACCCTACCTATAGGAGAAGTTTGGGTTCATTGGTGTGTATATTTGTTTAGTTCATAAAAAACTCTCCTTGTCTTTTTAAGGAACTGAACAAGGGTCCAAAAACTTCACCTTCGATTTTCTCAGAACAGCATTTTTCGGGATCTCCCCCTTGTGCTTAAAAGCGACCATTTGTTTTAGTCAGCGTTTTCTTATCATTTAGTTACCTCAGAATTACGAGGTTCTATTTGACATTTTGGTTGTTTTGAGTTACTTTGATCATTGGTTCGGAAACCAAACGTTTTATCTGCCCTATCAGAATCGTAAGATTATTCCGAGTCGTTGTCAAGATATTCAAAGAATCGCATTTGAAAAAAATTTGATATGTTGTGAAACTCAAATTTGTTAACGTCAAATTTCTCAAAACTAAATAATGAGCAGATAGAACTTTGTTATTCTAAGGTAGCGATTTGTTTTGGTCAGCGTATTTTATGCACGCACAACACAATAAGGTTACATTACAAGTGCAGACGATAAGAGGTGTTACAAAAGAGAAACAAACACAACAAGGAAGGAGAAGGAGAGAGAACAAGAGATTTTGATAGGGAAGAAGGAGCACACCACACTAGTACACCCATCAGCCACCGACATTCATGATTAATTTTGCTGGTGAACGTGCTGTGAACAACACACAGCTGAAGGCTGATATGTATTCAAGGTGTACTCTAATATACACACAGAAACAAAAACAATAACACAGACACTCTCCCTCTTTCACTCCGTCTATTGTCTTCTCTGTTTCTCTCTCTCTCTCTCTCTCTTTCTCTCTCTCTCTCTCTCTCTCTCTCTCTCTCTCTCTCTCTCTCTCTGTCTGTCTTTCTCTGTCTGTCTCTCTTTCTCTCTGTCTCTGTCTCTCTCTCTCTGTCTCTTTCTCTCGCTATCTCTCTCTCTCTCTCTCTCTCTCTCTCTCTCTCTCTCTCTCACACACACACACACACACACACACACACACATACACCAACACTCACTAATAAACATGAGCAAAAGTAATAATGATTCGGTGTGCATGATGCAAATGTGTATAAGTTTTACCAAAAATTGAGCCTGTAAATACGTTAAGCACCCTCTGATAAGATTACGATTATTTGAGAGACAGGCTGCTTTAACCCGCTTGTTTGGACCGACTGAGGTTTAGTTTGATACAGGATCACAACAGACAAACAGACATACCCGCTAAACGTTTTCCCACAAAACGGGAGATAGACAGATTCATAAAAGTGAGTAAGACCTTTAACAAAATTAATATGTCAGAAAGAAAATAAACAAAACAACATTAGGTAAATCGACTTTGCAAAACACGCTGCATTCTACACATGTTATCAGGGGCGAAGGCTGACTTGTTTGACAGGGTAATCAAAGTGAAATGGGACCAGATAGGGCCTGGAGATATCACAATCACACAAGTCACAAGAATCTTACTGGCACTGGAGGCGGCAACTCTGAGTTGTGAATAAAAACAAATCCTGAATTCATGTTGTATGCTTGTTCAACCGCTAAAATAATCGGGAAAGTATTTCATTAAATATTTATTCTAACTAACCTTAAATTTAACTTTAGATTTGAACACACGAACACCAAGGAAAGAAGCACAGATGTCAGCACTACAATGACATGTTAAACCAGACAGCCGAAACACTTTGGTAGAGCACGCCAACTATCAATTTTTTTTTTCACATTTGGCTGTTTTTTGTCTAGCTTTTCGCGGCCAGGAGCCGCTGTCATAATCGAGGTCACGATCTGATTATAGGACGTTAAAAAGTCGAGGAAAAAAACAAGCACTAGCAGTGTAGTAGCAAGAGTCAAAGGATTATTAGGAGTTAGTTCCCCTCACATCTGTGAGGTAGACTCGACCAGTGTAATAGTTCGCTTAGATAATCAGCGCGTCTGGGTGCTTATAACTGTGGCCCGAAAGGGGTGAACAAGGTATATGCGACAATGAAACAGTTCTGACTGCTATGCACATGTTCCCTTCAAATCCATTGGTTGACTCTTCCAGCCTCACTTTAAGCTTACTTACTCAAAGCTTGTGACTGCTTATGGAGTGGCCCGATAGGGGCGAACAGGCTATTTCTGTGGCAATGAAACGGTTTTGAAGGTTAGGCATAGTCTATTGTTCATTGGTGATTATGAACGTCTTTCTACATTTAATTTATGAGGTTTACGTCTATGGGTGAATTTGACTGCGACAATGTTTCAAAATTAGGAAGGGAAGCAGTGATTATTTGATTATATAGACGCTTCGCCTATGCATGTTATCAATGTAAGCAAAGGATTGGAAAAGATTTTGGAAAGCTCCATCGAATCATCCGTCATTTTAATCTACATGCATTTTGATTGCTTAGTTATAATTAAACTCCACCATACGTGCACAACACCATTGTGAAAAGTGACGAATGACGGGGTATTACACGGAGCAGTGAAGACATTGGTGGAAGGGGAACAGGGGAAATGTTAAACCCAATGTACTGTAAGTATAGAGACGACAATATCCTTACCTTGCATAATTCCCCGAATATCAGCCAGCACACTGTTGCCTCCGGACGCCGCGTCCCCCTTCAGAAGTGGCCAAGCCTTAGTGCTCTCTCCTCCTTGATGTGAAAAATGTTTACCTTCTTTTGATTCAAGTCCTCTACTCCACTTCTTCTCTGACGGAGCTTTTGGGCTGTGAGCACTCGCGACGTCGTTATCAGGTACCAGAGACATCGCCATGAGCCCGTCGAGCGACAACAGAGGATGTTTTGGCGTTTCCCCTTCCCGACAATACGGTGGTGGTCCACCCCCCTCGGGGTCCGTGGCGAGCTGTAGCTTCTGAAGGATGGAGTTCACTTCCAGGAATCTCTTGTCGACATTCTCCAGCCTCGGCCGGAAGTCGCCTCTATCGTTGGCGTCTAGGGGCTGAGACACTTTAGTTTTGGACGCACCCGTTGCTCGCAGCTGGTCGCCGTGCTTTGGTGAGGAATCTTTCCTGAATGCAGACCTCAGGAATGTCTCCTGCATGTCTTTGTGGATCATAGGCGCTATATCCAATTTGATCTTTGCAGATTTTTCTTTAAAATCAACCGGTGAGGCGTTTCTTCCTTGATGCACATTGTGATCACGTGATCCGAACAAAGGCTTATTTTTGCCGTCTGTGTCGACTCTCGAGTGATCTTCTTTTTCAAGTGGGCGGGTCGTAGACGTAGGGGGAGACGTAACAGACGAAGGTTTCGACAGATCTGTTTTTCCTTTACTCACAGCTGCAGTTGAAGGTTTTTCATCTTTGATTTCCCACAGATCCTCCGCTATGATGTCGTCCCGACAGTTGAGCCACTCCCAGTACCCTAGACTTCCGGTGCCCATGTAGCTGGGAGCTTCACAGTGGGGGAACTCTTTATTTGTTTTATTGTCTGTCCCCGAGACGCCCAATTCTCTTTTCTTCTTTGTATCGCAATTTTGGGGAGACATCGGCTTGTTGTTTGAAGGGACGCCGAGATACAGTTGACTCGGACTCAATGCGGTTTTAACATTCGGGTTAGTAGTTTTTGGACTTTTTGACGAGGCAGCGAGGTGATGTGAGGACATCTGTGTGTCCGACTTCGTTTGGCGTCTGCTCTTTTCTGTTTCTTGTTTTTGTTTCTTTGCCTGCTCCATTCTTTCCTGCTGCAGTTCAGAAAAGTTTTCAATAAAAGTCTTCGACCATTTGTCTTTTATTTCAGTCATTAAAGCGCTTGACTTTGCATTCTCTTTGGATTTGTCTGACTTCCGAACATTAGCGTTAGTGCTAGAAGAGGAGTCGACTGGTGATCCCTGACGTTTGGCTGTGCCGAGAGCTACGGGCAAACCCGTCAACTTTTGTTCTGGCTTCAATCCGTTCTCCAGCTGTACAGCCGCTTCTTCCTCTCCCGACACAGCTTTCACCTTTGAACCCTTCCTAGCAGCTCTGTTTAATCGGGAATCTGTATTCCGTTCAGCACGTAGTTGCCCGTCAGATTTTACTCCCTTAATACTTTTACCAGAACTGCTTAGCGCATCTTTGGTGGAACGGCCTGATTTTGATTCCGATTTTTTGACCGCCTTCATTTTCTTAAGGAGGAACTTTGACCACTGATCGGTGTCAGAGACGTCAGGAACTTTACTGCAGTCTTTAGGGACGGCGGCAGAACCGTGTGCTTCTACTTCTTTGGACGTTTTGGCGTTTCCTCCTTGTGGCTCGCATAGACTAGACGCAGGGATGTGGCTGGTGCTCGACTGTCCCTTTGACTGTGTAGACTTTCTGCGAGGAGTGCTCAGTTCTTCTTGGGAGACGCGGAGCTGGGGCTCTTTGTCTCTCGGAGGTTTATTCAAAGGCGCGTAGGTGGACTGTGGGCCACGAGTAGTTGGGGCTGGCGTCTTTATTTCTGGTTTTAGTTCAGTTACTTGTGTTGGTTTATCAGCATATCTCTTATTGTTCCCTTGGTTGTGTAGGAGAATACCACGCCGAATGGCATGCTCTTTCGTCTTATCCGATTTTACTTTTGAAGAACCTTTCGCTTTACCACCAGACTTCGTAAAAATCAAGCCATCGTATTTTGGTACGGCATCCTTCCCAACAAATATTCTCGAGTCACGCGGGCTTTTTTTCCTGAGAGCTGACAGTCGGAGCTGAGCCAGTCTTTCCTCCACTACGTCGGTCCAGTAGTCACTGTGCTGTGTCCTCCAGCTCCTCTTGGCCGAAGGCTTGCTGTGTGTCTGATCAACGACGTGGGACCGGGGCGCCGCGCTGCCGAAAATGCCGTCGTCTATGAACACGAAGCTACTTCTGTGATCATCGAGTTTACTCTTTCCTGGCTTGTCCTTTGATGAGCGGACTGGGTTGCCGTCCTGGAAGACCCTATCAGCTGCCTCCTGCTGCTGCTCTTTTGTTTTATCGGTGGTCAGAATAAAGTTCTTGGGATTTGTGCCGTGTATTTTATGAAGCCCAGCAGCGCTTTTCTGTGCAGTGTTGGTAGATCTCACTTCTTTGACTTTGTTTAGTTCAGATGTGTAGTTCATGGTTGGCATCTTGTCCCAACCCCAGGGCGCGTAAGGGTGGCTGGCCTGTGTCACAGGCAGATCTTCAACGTGAGAAGGACGTATCTCCATCATTTCATTCGTTTCTCGACTCGGCCCAAAAGGTTTTCCGCTAGTGGCTGGTCTTGGAAACAGCTTACTAATCATGTCATCATTGGTCCGATTTGTTTCTTCGTTTCCTGGTTTCCTATTTTTGCGGAAAACTATTGAATCTTCATGAATGCTTTGTTCTTGTGTGGGACGTCTGGAATTTTGAAACGTTTTGTAAGAGTTTTCTGTTTTAGAGCGCTTCAAAGCTTTTCCCAATTCTTTGGCCACGTTGGTTACATGTGAAGGATTAAGCGCATTTTGCGAACTCGATTGACTAATATTGTTATTTTCTCTGCTACTGACATTTTTCTTTTGCAACTGGTTGGTTTTGAAGAACCTTGGTATTTGCTCGCTCGGATTACTGTTTGATGACATTGCAAACTGCTGGCTTCTCATGAGCGAGTGCAGAGCTCCAGTGGCGGTACTTTGAATATCCGAGATCTTGTTTTTGGCATCAAATCCTAGAATGTTCCGGTGTTCCACGCCACGCGAGCGGATGGCGTTGAGCCCAACGTTCATGTCGGCGCTGTCCAGCTCTCCTAGTTTGGCCTTCAGACCTGCCAGATCAGCCCGTTTACTGAATTCTTTAGGCGGGCGTGGTGTAATCACTCTGGCTTTGTTCTCGTTGACACCTGTCTTGAGACGCGAACTGCTACTGTGTTGGCCTTCCATTTGGTTTTCCACTTTGTCCTTGAGGAACCATTTCTTTCCTTTGGGCTTTTTCAGTTGTCTCGCAAGAAGCGATGCTTTAGACGCCGATGGCATTATATTTGTATCATTACTGTTGCGTTTCTCCCTCGGCTTTTGATCCTGCAAAGAGAAGTAAGAGGGTACTTTGCTGTCACGATCACGTTTGTTGTATTGGGAGTCCAAAGAGAACAAGGACGTTTCAACACCGCCCCCCTCCCTTCCTTTCCCGCCCAATAACACACTTTCCAAACGTGAAACTTTTTGTTCTAGTTTTTTTTTCGAGTAAATTTGTTCTTGTTGATATTGCTTTTTTATTGATAGATTTACTCAATCAATCATAAATAATTGTTTGCATTATCCTGTATATTTTTAAAGGCATATTATACAATTTGGGGTAGAACGTCTGTCTTTTCTATGGGTAATCCCCCCCCCCCTCTCTCTCTCTCCTCCCCCTCTCTCTCTCTCTCTCTCTCTCTCCCTTTCTTTCTCTCTTTCCCCCTCTCTCTCTATCTCTCTAGCTCTCTCTCTCTCTCTCTCTCTCTCTCTCTCTCTCTCTCTCTCTCTCTCTCTCTCTCTCTCTCTCTCTCTCTGCTTGAACTGTTTTCGAAATAAGGAGCTTTAAAACTATGATTGTTATAAGAAAATAACCAAGTTCTATACCCTACCTTTCTGCTCCCCCTGTCCGCGTCGTTCCTCCCGACAGTAGTGGAGAAGTTCCTGTTCTGTGCGGCAGGGCCTTCCACAAAGGACGAGGTGTTGCTGGGGCCTCTGGCTGAGCCCACGGCCGGGCACGCCTTGCTGGTGTGTGATGACGTCACGCCCAGCCGGACGCACGTCTTGATGTGGTGGGCCAGGGCGTGAGTGGTGTGGCGGGCTAGCTCCAGCAGTTGTAGCGCCATCTTGTGAGCTGGGAGGAGCTTGAGGAAGGGAGGTGGTGGGCGGAGCTAGTTGAGGATGATTGACGTGGTGGTACGTCGTGGGGGTGGGGGAGGGTGTGGGGGGGTTGATGAGGCCAGGGGTCACTCCGCGGTGAAAGGGATGGGACAGGAGAGGGGTGGGGCTGTCTGCGATAAGTAAAGTATAGTTGAAAGGAATTACATGTACAGTAAATTTTGTTTGTTTATTTTGTTTTGTTGTTGGGTTGTTTTTGTTTTCTTTGGGGGGTGGACAATGATTAACAAACTTATGGCCAATGGAAATGATCAATTATTGAGCGAAGAAGAGAGAGAGAGAGAGAGAGAGAGAGAGAGAGAGAGAGAGAGAGAGAGAGAGGGAGAGACACAGAGAGAGAGAGAGAGACACAGAGAGAGAGAGAGAGAGAGAGAGAGAAAGAGAGAGAGAGAGAGAGAGTAAGAGATAGGTTGGGAGAGAGTAAGAACACATCGATCACCGTAAACAACATGCTGGTATCATTCTAATCTAAATCAAAATGATACTTGATGCGTTTTCTATGGTGTCTTCAAAACTGAAATCGAAGATAATTGTGTTTTCAAGACATACAACACAGAAACCCCAAGCGAGTCACCCACATTGACCAGGCACACAATAGGGAAACTGTTTCTTTAGCTAAAGTTTGAATGTAACTTTCTAACACTTGCCGAAACACGCTTCTCTGCAAGTTTTTTCACTTTGCTTATTTTGACGAGAGCCTGATTCCACCACGCTGCCTCACATATTTATTTGCAAATAAATATTTGAGGCAGCGTGGTGGAATCAGGCTCTCGTCCAAATAAGCAAAGTGAATAAATTTCCTTTTTTTCCTCAGGTTTGTGAATTTTTATCAAATTTTTTGTTTTTTGGTTCAACACCTTTCATGCCCATTAAAGAACTAATTTCTGTGTGGATCTTTCTGAAAAACGTTGATTAAAGACACAGAACATGTAAATGTTCAGCTACCACGGACTCTTAAGCTAAGGAAATAACTAATCTTTGGCGGCCATTTTCTCACTTATTTTACCTCTGAAAACAGGTGACCCCCACCTCCTTCATTCACAATTATCTCGACTTGTATTCAAGATAAATTGAGATTTTGTTCATCCAAATGAAGACCAGTGAACAAGCTTTAAGATGATACCAATAACTCTACATGTCCAAAAATTGACGAGAGCCTGATTCCACCACGCTGCCTCACATATAGGTGTTTTACAACCTAACGACACGATTTAGATCGTTCTGGAGCCGGGCTTCTATCCTGCCTGTCAAGGCCAACCCGTGTTGAGAGGAAGACAGCATCCCAGCAGAAACACCGAAATACTTCACATGCATTCTTGTATTGATTGTGAAGCGCGTCTGTGGCCTAGTGGTTAGGCTTTCGAACTCGCAACCGTAAGGTCGTGAGTTCGAATCCCGTCAAGGGACTGACGTTGTGTCCTTGGGAAAGGCACTTTACACGAGTTTTCCTCACTTCACCCAGGTGGGAATGGGTACCCGGCTATAGACAGCGAAAGAGCTTGTCAGTTTGTTAGTGTTTGAGCGCTTAATCAGCTGCTTGCACTGTATGCTTCCCGGGAAGCTGAGAATGTTTCGGCGTGTTCTATGGTCTGCAGCCTGCTGGGGTTATAATGTAGTGTAAAGCGCATAGAGCTTGCTGTTGAGCAGGGATTTGCGCAATACAATTAAGGCTATCTATTTATTATTGTTATTCTTTACACATGGAAATCGAATCCGAGTTTTCTGCGTTTGACGGCGAAGTGCCTAACAGATGAACCACAGACGCGGTTATAAAACACATAAATGACTTTTTCTACGGATCTAATTTATTAGCGAAAGAGCTGGAAAACGTACAAAGAGCTCATTTCTGAGTGGAGTTTCTATATTGTTCCTTTCCGTATGCTTCGCTTCGTTTCACCAAAACCCAACTAGTCATTAGCGACTCCTACATCGAAATTTTAAAATTTTCCCCAAAAGATCATTTGAGGCACTCAAATCCCTACATCTTGACGGTCCCGTCTCATAAGAGTATGATTCGGTGTGTAATGTGGTCGCTTTTAAACACAAGGGCTTATCCCGAAAAATACTTTTTTTTAGAAAATCGAAGGTAAGGTTTTTGTCCCTTGTTCAGTTCCTTTAAAAGACAAGGAGAGTTTTCTCTCTAGGCACACAAAAATACTCACCAACAAAACCAAACTTCTCTAATGCCCACTTTTGGTGTAGGTCAAGATTTCAGGAAACCCCCGAAATCTGGGTTAGCCCGCTTGTCCTAAGCGACAATGTGTCAATGTACGTACACCTGGGGGTCTCCACTTTCTTTTGAGCCATACTTTCTCGCCGAGGCGATAAGCAAAGAAAAACACCAAAATAAACCTCGCTTTTAACGTGTTTAAGAAATAGTGGTCTAAATTATTTACTTTTACCCTGTCTCAATCAGTACTCAGGATCATCATCATCAAGTGCCAGATCTGCAGTTGAAATCAACGATCATTGCTTGCCATTCATTCCTTTGCTCCGATGCTTAAAAAAAACAAGGCATTGCCCTGTTCAGGCATCTGTTTAGGCTCTCAAAGCAAATTGCTCTGCCCCTGCCTCGCTTGTCTTCAAAAGTACAAGTAAGCTAGATTTTGAAAAGGCCCTTATGTCTATTCGAGTGACGCAGAACTCCTTACTAGCAGCGTATGCAACGTTGACCGTCAATGTTCAACCTGAAAATCTTGGGGGAGAGGGTGATGGGGGACATCAATGTAGACGAAACGTCTACCAGATTTGAACAAGGTCAACTTACCTTCGTTGTCCCTGTAACACTCCTCATAAAATCTGTAGGGAATGGCAACTCCCTGTAGTTTCTTAAATTCTTTTTCAATTTCCTCATTGGACACTGACAACTTTTAAGTAGCCCTAATAAAGTGTAACATTGACGTAGTATCTCTGGACAATGCTTAGGTCATACATCTGATGCTGTGTGAGAGAGCTCATGTCGGTCCTTCGGTACACCACTAACGCCTGTGTCAGTCCATCATATTATGTCACCAAAACTGTAGAAAAACGTCTTGTGTCAACTTTACGCACTTCCCTCAATGTGGCGTCGGTGGACTAGTGGTTAGGCTCTCGGACTCGCAACCGTAAGGTCGTGGGTTCGAATCCCGTCAGGGACCCGACGTTGTGTCCTTGGGAAAGGCACTTTACACGAATTTTCCTCACTTCACCCAGGTGGGAATGGGTACCCGGCTTTAGACAGTGAAAGATCTTGTCAGTTTGTTAGTGTTTGAGCGCTTAATTAGCTGCTTGCACTGTATGCTTCCCCGGAAGCTGAGAATGTTTCTGAGTGTTCTATGGTCTGCTGGGGTAATAATATAGTGTAAAGCGCATAGAGCCTGCTTTTAAGCGGGGATATGCGCTATATTATACAAATGCTATTTACTATTATTATTATTGTTGTGAAGCGCAACCGTGTGGGGTTTCTTGCTTACAAAAAAAACTTACAGTAATAAACTGAAAGCACTTTTATCAAACAGTTCAAACCACTGGGGAAAAAAGAGATTACAAAGAACGAAACAGGACAGATTTCCTGAATTTTTCTTTCGTTTACTTACGTCAGGACATGGGTTCTGTGAGCACCATTGATGGCTCGAGGGTTCTGTCGTCTGTGGACAAAGTAATCACGTCTATAACGCAAGGTCAGAGTTAATGAAGCTGAAGATAGCTCTTGATGCTTTTCTTAGAAACTGCTTTTTCTGGAAATCCACAGAAATTGATGTACGACGCGATTGCGGAACGTTGCTGAGGAAATGTAGTATTTCTCTCTGTCTCTGTCTCTGTCTCTGTCTCTGTCTCTGTCTCTGTCTCTCTCTGTCTCTCTCTGTCTCTGTTTCTCTCTCTCTCTCTCTCGCTCTCTCTCTCTCTCTCGCTCTCTCTCTCTCTCTCTCTCTCTCTCTCTCTCCCTTCTGTCGCTGTGAGCTTCATAAACGGTCAGCGATGCCGACAGCACGCAGGAACTCAACACTTGCCCGGGGGTCCTTGAAAAGTGCTGAAAGTGGGTTACTGAAATGTCCCAGTAGACTAAAATGTAGTATTTACGAGTTGTGGTACCAGGAAGAAACGTTTCTTAAAACAGAAAGTTGAAATTTGTTCCATGTAAATGGAGAAAAAAAAGTCTATTTCTTAGGCAGGTCCCAAAATGCTTTCAAACTATAATAGAAGGATAAACAAATGAAAAAGAAATAAGATCATTCTTCCAACCGCAACCTACTTACAAAGGGGCATGACTCGATAACCAAAATGGGAGTCTGTCATTCTAATAATCACATCCCTTGCTTGGTGAGTTTTCAACTTTGGTGACGTAAAGGAGAAACTAAACAAACATTCTAATCACTAACGAAGGGACATGACTCTAGGGCAAAAGTGTGAATCTACTTTCTACTTATCACTTCCCTTGGTTACATTTGAAGCTTTGGGGATATTGAAGAGGAACTTTAGAAAACTCCAGTTTATCCCCTCTTTGAAAGGCAAAAAAGGGTGGTGATGTTGCTTTAAATATAAGAAACTAGATTGATTCAAGATCTAAATCGCACTAGCCGATTGACTGTCAATGAATGTGGCTATTTAACACTTCTATCTGCACTATTCAGATTATTCAGGAGGCGGGCTGCTCGGGGCCAGCCATTCGGGTGCTTTCATGGGATTCATTACCTCTCTCTCTCTCTCTCTCTCTCTCTCTCTCTCTCTCTCTCTCTCTCTCTCTCTCTCTCTCTCTCTTCTGGTGTTGTGGCATCATAAACGGTCAGCCATGCTGACAGCACGCAGGAACTCAACAGTCGCTCGGGGGTCCTTGAAGAGTGCTGACAGTGGGTATTGAAATGTCCCAGCAGACGAGTTTTGGCTTTTTGTTTATTCAGGTTTCTTTTTTCTTTTTTTTCTTCTTTTTTTTTTTGGGGGGGGGGGGGTGGGGTGACTTTTTACGGAGGGTTTTCGCTTCGTTTTTTGTTTGTTTGTTTGTTTGTTTGGTCTTGCTATTGTTTTTGGTTTTTTTTAGCAAAGAGAATCAGGTGGACACTCAAAGAGCTATTAAATGTAGGGAAGAAATTTGACAGGAATGCTGAAACAACAGAGTGGTAAAGAAAAGAAGTAAGACCTATCTGTCCCTTCCTCCAACCGCCCTGTATGCTTATCATTTTAACTTTGAGATATTACGTGTGGCGCAATTGAGCGTTTTGGAGGGTTTTTTTAAAGATGGTTTAACGGAGAAAAAGACCAGATCATTTTAGTACATTCTCCGACGACCTCTAGATCTATTATCTATTTGTGGTGGCCGAATGGTGCTATTCAAAAGTCTTTTTAATGGCTGCATCGATCGACATGAGGTTTTCGCCAAAAGATTCTTTCAAATATTCTCCAGATCATGACGCCCTTGGGTTTTTTCAGTTTTTAGACAGTTTTGCTGCAAAAAGCTAAATTTCTTTATTTCGCCGATCGCTTTTGTAGGCCGACGCTTTTGTCTTTGTAATTTTAGAAAACCCGAAAGTGATATTTCGCGAGGCGCATTTTGTTTGTTTCTTTTTGTTTTGAGAGTATAGATCTAGACCTTCTAATTTTTTGCATTTCTCAAGATGTATTGCCCCAGTCCAGTAGAATGTAAATATAGTAAGCCAATGACTTTTAGTTGATATTAAAGCACCGATCATTCCTTTCATTGAAAGGGGGCCTAGCTGGTTATTATAATGACTGCTAAGTGCAAGACTTCGTCATATTATGTTACTTTTTCAAATGGTCGGTCAGATTCTTACACTAAGCACTACATATGTGCGTCTTATCAAGAACTCCTATTCTCAAGGGGGGGGGGGGGGGGGTAAACAACATTCCGCAATCGCGTCGTTAATCAATTTATGTGAGTTTCAAAGTGAATTGGGTAATTTTGCAGGATTGGACCCGTCTCATTTGCAACTGTTTTGAATATCATGGTCATTTTGTACCCCAGAGGTTGTATTCTTCACATTTCTGAATACTTTTAGTGCAAAGATCTCTTTGAAAGTATCAGTATTTCTCAAAATAATCATTTTGACAGACTGTTACTGCTATGCAAAGCGTACGGATCGGATTAACAAGTAAATTTCCTCTTTGGAAAGTGGGTGCACAGAATTTCCCACGTCGTATGGATACGATAGTAAAACACGACGTACGGATAGGGGGGGGGGGCACAGAGTTCCCCACGTCGTATGGATACAATAGTAAAATACGACTGCACCTTAAAAACTGTAAAGAAATATATTCTTACAGCAGTGAACGCAAGAGGGGCCCAATACTGCAATAATACCGCTGAGTTCTTACAGCAAGCAATCGATTTGTCCACTAGATCTAATTGTCGAGAACTCGTGTTGTCCGAGAGTGAGAGTGAACCTTTGTCTAGTGAAATGAACCATACTACTCGTGGACTACTACATATTCTTTTGCCTAAAATTTACCAAGGCAATATGTGTAGCACCTCGACGGTGACATTTTTTTCGTGTTTTATGGTTCGAAAACTCTTCTACGCTCACTCTTGACTTGTCTCATCTACTAGATAATAAAAATCATATTAATTTAATGAGTTCTTTGGTCCAATTAACGAGATTTTTTCCCAAGTGTAGGAGTTTTGAAACACCCCTATCGATAGAGTAGTAACAGTATACAGTATAATATCTTAATATTCGGGAATCGAATTTGGGTCTCTTGTACGTACAGCGAAACACCTATAACCACAAATTTGACTAAATCTAGATATCTATGCAAAATCATATTGCTTTGATTGTAAAGGTTAAGTCATATTTCATGATTTTAACAAACCTATAGAGGTAAAATTTTTAGACGTTCTACGATGGTATGAGGTTTCCTCTTCGGTGTTCTGCCTAGTCTAGCTTTGAAAGTCTTGGTGACGTAACGTATTGCCTTGTGGCTTCCTGCAACAGTATGCACGAGAATGCACTGCGGGAAAACCCGGTGTTGTCTGCATGCGAAGATGTCTGTCTGTATACCCCATAAAAGACGTGTTAGTTAATTTTACTAAAAAGTTTACGGCATTTTCAACATAAGTAGGCCATATAAGTGCCGAAGATTAGAGGTGTTTCAAGAGAGTAACAAACACAAAAAAGGAGGAACACAAAAAATGAGGAGAGAAAAGGATGATAGATGTTGGCTAGGAAAGAAGGAGGAAACCACACCAGAACACCCAGCAAACACCCCCATACATAGACGTGTATTATGAAATCCAAGACTGGGATTTCCTGATAATATTCGGACTCACTATGGGGGGGGGGGGGGGGGGGGGGACCATTTGATTCTTTCGAACACCAAATGAGTATGTGCTGGCGGGTGCTCTGCTGCGGTTTGCTCCTTTTCCCAAACAAATATATTCTATCAACCTTCTATCTCTACCTCCTCCTTTTTTATTTTGTTACTTTCTTGCAAGACCTTTAACGTTTTGGCATTTATATGGCCTAATTGGGTCGCTGGTGCTGTAAACCTCCTACTAAATCTTGAGCCTAAGGAAGGGTAAAGAGAGCAAACTTGCCAGCGCACTCGATTATGATAAATGACTTAGGCCAAAGCGTCAGCGTAGTAGCGATACTGCCTTTGTTGTTGTTGTTGTTGTTGTTGTTTTTGTTATTGTTGTTGTTGTTGTTGTTGTTGTTGTTGTTGTTGTTGTTGTTATCGATCCAGCAACAGCTGGGCTCTCGCCCTTCTGCCCAATGCCATGTAGTGATAAGTGCAGGTTTGCTGCAGTTGCTGTAATGTTCCGTAGAGTGTGTTGTTGAAGTAAGGTCTCGGAGGGAGAAGTGTAGCTCTGATGTCATTTAGGGCTGTGCAGTGGAAAAGGTGATGTTCCACTGTCTCATATGCATAGTCACACAAAGGACACATTGGGGGAAGTTCCGATACTGCAGTTGTGAAACAGAAAGGTGAGGTGTCTAGCAGGGGAACTCTCATGGGACCGTAAAAGAATACAATATGTTTTTAAAAAATCAACAAGTTTTGCTTTTTTTTAAAAAGTCTTTTATTTATTTTTTAATGTTTTGCCTAGAACTGGAGTTACACAGTTTTCTGGTCAATTTTATAACAAGTTAAATACGAAATAAATATGAGAAACATGTTTAAAGGTAAAACAGTGGCATCAGTTAACCCTAGAATTACAAAGTTCTATTTACCAAGTAGCTAGTTTTGTGAACCTTGACGTGAAAAGTTTGGAGTTTCACTAAATGTCTAGTTGAATATTTTGATACCGCATTTGTACAACTGAAAGGCGGGGTGTCTGGCAACGGAACTCTCATGGCTCCGTAACTGAAAACAATATTTATATAAAATTAACAAGTTTTGTTCATTTGTTTATTTTTATTTCATTTCACAAAATGTCTAGTTGTATATTTTGATAACGATTCCGAATTATCATACTAATTTGATATAACAGATAGAGCCTTTGGTTTCTGACCTCATGATCCTACTAACAGCCAAAAATGTCCGATAGAACTTAGTTATTGGACGGTAGCAAAGATAGAGATGCAACGAGTTCGATTCTCAAGTGTGTAACCCCCCATAGAACACTCCGAAACATTTTCAGCTTCCCGGGAAGTATACAGTGCAAGCAGCTGACTAAGCGCTCAAACACTAACAAACTGACAAGATCTTTCGCTGTCTATAGCCGGGTACCCATTCCCACCTAGATGAAGTGAGAAAAATACGTATAAAGTACTTTTCCCAAAGACACAACGTCGGGCCCCTGAAGGGATTCGAACCCACGACCTTACGATTGCGAGTCCGAAAGCCTAATCACTAGGCAACCGACGCCACATTAACAACTACCGCAAGCTGAGAAACATGAGGAGGGGGGGGGATGGTTGTCAAAATCTACAGTGGTGCCCCAACAGTCAGCCAGACTACAGGAAAGGGAAGAATATTGCACACTTTTAGCTTCAACTGAAGAGCGCTGGAACGTTTGCTTACGCTCGTGTCACGGGTCGTCACGCGCTAAGACAAGGTCACGCTCGGAAGCGAGATAGATAGATCAAGGACAATTGAAACATCCTGGAAGTACAGAATCTTTGGTACTACTGTGACGTCGATGTCACAAATACGGGTCAATAATTCCGTTGAGCTACCAAAGAAATAATGATAATAATTGCATTGCATTTATTATAATTGCATTTATACAGCGCATATCCATGCCCAAGAGCTTGCTCTATGTGCTTTACAACTATTATTACCCCAGCAGACCCCCTGAGAACACTTAGAAACATTCTCAGCTTCCGCGGAAGCACACAGTGCAAGCTGCGGATTTCATGCGCTCAAACACTATCAAACTGAAAAGATCTTTCCCTGTCTATAGCTGGGTACCCATTTCCACCTGGGTGAAATGAAGAAAATGTGTGCAAAGTGCCTTTCCCAAGGACACAACGTCGGGCCCTTGACGGGATTTGAACCCACGACCTTAGTGTTGCGAGTCCGAGAGCCTAACCACTAGGCCACCGACGCCACAAATACAAAACTGTATCTGACATTTTTGGCCGTTTTGAGTTATTACACCCATGAGATTAGAAATCAAACGTTATAATAACATTCTCTTTGAAAATCATAAGATTATTCTGAGTCAATATCAAGATATTCGAAGAATTGCTTTCGAAAGAGCTTTAAATACTTTATGAAACTCTTTTTTTTAAACCTAAAATTTCTCAAAACTAGGTACTGAACGATAGAACTTTTTCAATATAAGGTAGTAAAGTATGAATGCTCTAGGGTTAACATAGCCTTTTTTCACCTCTGTCTTTCCATTCACTTTTTTAGGTTATGTTTATGAATCTTGTCTCAATGATCTGTTACCCGAAATTTGACCATAGTTCTTTTACTACGGAACTGTAACCGTGGCAACCCGAAAAATCACCATTAACATACCATCCCCATGCACAATACCAACACCTTTATTGTCTCAACCACCTGATCAGCTAATTAATATGTGAGGCAGCGTGGTGGAATCAGGCTCTCGTCAATTTTTGGGCATGTAGAGTAATTGGTATCATTTTAAAGCTTGTTCACTTGTCTTTATTTGGATGAAAAAAAATATCCGTTTATCTTAAATACAAGTCGAGATATTTGAGAATGAAGGAGGTGATGGCCACCTGTTTTCAGAGATAAAAATAGTGAGAAAATGGCCTCCAAAGATTAGTTATTTCCTTAGCTTAAGAGTTCGTGGTAACTAAAAATTTACGTTTTTTATGCCTTTAATGAATTTTATGCCTTTAATGAACGTTTTTCATGAAAATCCTCAAAGAAATGAGTTCTTTAACGGGCATGAAAGGTTTGAGCAAAAAAACCCAAAATTTTATAAAAATTCACAAACTTGCGGAACAATGCAAGTTTCTTCACTTTGATTATTTTTACGCGAGACTGATTCCACCACGCTATCTCAGATATCGTTGCGTAAAAGCCAACAAGTTATTCGAAAGAAATCCAAAACTGAAGGGAACAATATGGACCAAAACTGAAGGGAACAGTATGGACCTTCAGCTCAAGGACGTATGATTTTTGTTCCTTCTAATCCGTCAGTACAGCAGTAGTAGTCATGTTTTCACACTATCCTTCACTCAGTAGTAAGGTTTTCACACCATCCTTCACTCATTAGTAAAGTTTTCACACCATCCTTCGCTCGCTCAGTAGTAGTGCTTTCACACCATTCTTCTCTCGAAATAGATCATCTGTTCAACAGTCTCCTTCTGCGCCAGAATAAATCCGTACTTGGCTAAACATTCCCGAACGCGCTTTTCAATAACTGAAGTGAACTTGGCGTCAAACGTTAGAGTCCAACAGGCCTTCTTTCGCCCCGCGTTCTGTATCTGGTGCATGTGACACTTCAGGTGAGACTCCAGGTGAGTGAAATCCGTTGCGTAGATCCCTGACTCAAACACGATCCCAGCCTCGCTTTCGTAGTTGAAGAGTACGGATATCATGGTGACCTCAGAAGGTTCAAGGTTGTGTGAACTGACCTCCTGTTTGCTGGAGAGAAAACACTGAGTTCTATCGTTGATAAAGTGTTTGATGTTTTCTTCCATGAGTCGGAAAGGCACCCATATAACAGACATTCTCTCCAAGGAGAAGATGCGCCGACAGGCTTGTGTGTCTTTGATAATCGTTGAGAAGTCCTGGTGAGTCATGAGTCGGACGTCCGAAAAGCTGTCACGTGGTATCAGCGGAAGGAGATTGTCTACGTCCAGGTACATATCGTACGATTCCTGTAGACGAGAGGCAAAAAGACAAATTATTATGGTAAAAGTTGAAATAATTATTTTAAGTGTAAGTTTCATATGCCCCCATCGACATTATCTAGATCATTTAGAAGGCAGACTTCGATGTTGCCTGTCTGGGCCACCCCGGGCAATGAGGGGTAAAACATCCAAGCAGAAAGACCGACAGACTCTATAAAGATTCACCCCTCTTGAGAATCGAACTGGGGTCTCCTGTGAATGAATGCTTAACTTTTAACCGCTATACTACAGATGCTGGTAAAGAAAGTTAAACGTTAAAGTGCTTATCTAGAACTGTTTGGCTTTCTGGAGATTCAGATTCAAATGACGTCACTGAATTTAACTCCTTTGATGAGTATGTTGATACCAAATTAATTACAGTGGAAGTTGTTTCAGACTGTCTTCCATTGTCGAGGAGAGATGTGTCTGTATATGAAAAGAGGTCGCCCTACAAAATGTCATAAAAGGTTAATAAAAATGAAAGGTAGGGAAATGGGAACAGGTAGTTTGCATAAGTGATTGTCTCTAACAAGTGGCCGTTAGAGCAGGTTTTACTATACCACGTCGGTCCACCAGAGGACATACCACGTTGCGTTCTATCAGCTAATGCGGGTATCATTCACCTATTATTACGCCATTCTCTGCTCACTGTCAATCACCTAGGTGCAGTTGTAATTGTATTTCAAACTGTAAATGTGAGGCAGCGTGGTGGAATCAGGCTCTCGTCAAAATAATCAAAATGAAAAAACTTGCATTTTTCCGCAGGTTTGTGAATTTTTATCGATTTTTTTTTTTTGGGGGGGGGGGGGGGGGCTCAACACATTTCATGCTCATTAAAGAACTAATTTCTGTGTGATTTTTTTCTGAAAAACGTTGATTAAAGGCACAAGAAATGTAAATGTTCAGTTACCACGGACTCTTAAGCTAAGGAAATAACTAATCTTTGGTGGCCATTTTCTCTCTAATTTTACCTCTGAAAACAGGTGACCCCTACCTCCTTCTTTCGCAAATATCTCGACTTGTATTCAAGATAGAGGGATATTTTTTCATCCAAAAAAAGACAAGTGTACAAGCTTTAAGATGATACCAATAACTCTACATGCCCAAAAATTGACGAGAGCCTGATTCCACCACGCTGCCTCACAAATTTTCTACACTCCCTTCGACACAAGCACTATCCTTTAGGAGGCGGGCTACCTTGACGGTGACTGCCGGGGACGAGCATGGTTGAGAGGGACACACGCAGAGATACTGGATCAAAAGCAACTTAAACACAGTCTGTTACGTGCGACGATGAGGAGTCCAACCCTTTCACGACAAAAGCCTGTGTATCCAATTTTACTTTCTTTTAATGTAAGTATTTCTTCACCTCACCAATACAATTTAGATTAATCAGGTATCGGGCTTCGACATTGTTTGTTAGGGTAACTAGGGCTAAGAGGGGAGATACAACATCCCAACAACAACAAAAATGAAATACTCGATAAAAGTTCTCAACACTTGGCCTTCGACCTCACGTCTTCTATACACGACGGTGAAATTTACCAAGCTTTGGCGGCCATTTTCTCGCTTATCTTGCCTCTTAAACCAGGTGACCCCCACCTCCTTCAATCCAAAATATATCCACTTCTATGGAAGATGGATGGGTAATTTTTTCATTGAAAACAAGACAAATGAACAAGCTTTAAGATGATACCAATAATTCGATATGTCAAAAATTGACGAGAGCCTGATTCCACCACGCTGCCTCACATTTTTTTCTTCTTTTTTTTTTTTTTTATTAAATATTTTGGTTACTGAAAACAGAAGATTGCCTCTTTATAACCCCCCCCCTCCCCCAGAAACGAACAACATCTCACAAAATACCGGAACGCGGAACGGCTCTGTCACTTGTTGACTTTTTTCCAGCTTTTCCCCGTTTTTCCAGCAAGTCATCACACCCCCCCCCCCCCACACACACACACACACTTTACTCAAGTTATTTCAGTATCAGTTTCCGTGTGACTGCCTTGATGGGTGTTTCTTGAGGAAGCAAAGTTCTACCGTTGGGTGCGGGAATCATACTGTAAAAAAATAGACATTAAAAGCAATCGAGTTTTTTTTTCACGTTTTTTTGTTGTTGTTGTTTTGTTTTGTTTTATTTTTGCTGCTTGTTTGTTTTGTGTTGTTGTTTTTTGTTTTGTTTTTTGGTTGGGGGGGACCGAGGGGGGATATGCTATAGGTGCTATTCAAATAAGCTGTATTTGCAAAAAGAAAACGTTGGCTAGCTGTTCAGATGTTCTTAACCCATTAAAACTCTTTCTGCTTGATGAGATGCTGTATCCCTCTCAGCCCGAGCTGGCCCTGACAGGGACGGGCACGGTCGGAAGCCCACCTCCCAAACGATAGAAATTGTATCGATTGGGAAGTAAAAATACGTACATAACACATTCAATCAAAAAATGGTATAGGTTTACCGCCCCTACCAACACTTTTAGGTTATTTAAGAGGCGGGACCTCCTAGTTTAACGTCCATCTCCAAAAGGACCGAGCCAAGTGGGAAGTTCGTGTAAAGTGCCTTTCCCAAGGACATAATATCGGACCGAGCTGAGGCTCGAACCCCGAACCCGCAATCTCACGATTACGAGTCCGGTAGCCTAACCACTAGACTACCAAGAAATACACGGACAGAAACAGTTTTCATGACAAGATTATTTACCAACGCACCAGTCTCATGATCTCCCGGAAACTTTTCCTCTGGGTGTAGCTCTTGTTGATCCTCTCAGCCGTCGCCTTGACAACGGACACCGACTCCCACGTGACGTCCGTCGTCTGTTTGATCTCTCTGTTCATGGCGTCCAGGATGCTCATGTAGATGCCTCGGCCTTGGTGGCTGTCTTTCACTTTTGAGCCCCTTGTACACACCATCTGGCCTCCGTCCGCGACGATACCGCAAGTGATCCCCACCTGGAAGAAGTTATCAGATCGTGGTATATTAGCCTTGGCGTTAGTTTTAGTTTTAGTAGAGGTTTTACGGCGCTTGCAACTGCATAAGGTCAGAAGAGCGCCAGAAGATTAGAGGTGTTACAAGAGAGTAACAAACATAAAAAAGAAGGGGATATAAGGATTATAGATGTTCGATGGGAACGAAGGAGCAAACCACACCAGAACATTCGCCAGCCACCCACGCCTTGGTATTAGAGAACTAATGGGAAAAGAAGAACGAATAGACCAACAAGCAGTTCGCTACCCAAGAATTACAAAGTTCTATCTGCTCAGTACCTATTTTTGAGAAATTTGACTTTTAAAATATCGAGTTTCACAGCATGTCAAGCTTTTTGGAGTCAAATTCGTTGAATATCTTCATAACGGCTCAGAATAATCCTGTGGTTTTGACAGAGCAGAGAGTACCGCAACACCACAGGCGTGGTGGACATGGTATTACAGAACAAACGAGAAAAACAAGGTGGTGACCCAACTAGCAGAAATAGGCGTTCGATCAGGGATTAGGCAAGCACCCAGGACCGGAGTGTTTCAAGGTTATTAGAGGGAGTGGCCAGGGACAGAAAAGCGTGAGGTCGACTTCTTTCTGCCTTGTGCCGGAAGAGGGCAGATTCCGGTTCCCACACTCTGGGTAGATTGAAGGAGAAGAGGATCCAAAGAGGAGAAGGGAAACACAGCCACCTGTGCAGACCAGTCCGAGAAGATATCCAACCAGATTATGGTGGAGACTGTAAGCAGACAGACTCTGGGATGGATCCTGAAGAAGGGGGGGGGGGAGGGGGGGGGGGGAGGTGGAGGAGAGCAGAGATGTATATGTTCCGACTATAGTGACCCCAACACTGAGGACAAGGATTGACAAGGATTGATTGTGCACGAGACCTTTCCTAAATGTGGCATTGATGGGGCGCGCATAAAAAAGCCACCCACATCTTTAAAAAAGCATCTCTTCATTTACCACACGAGTACTGCCCACAGCCACATTTCTCCTGTAGGTGGTTGGTGGGTGCTCTGGTGTGGTTTGCTCTTCCTTCTTTCCTATCAAACTTCTATCGAACTTATATCTCTTTCTTTTGTTTGTGTTTGTGTTACTCTCTTGTAACACGTCTATTCTTGGGCACTTATAATATGACCGTGTTGTGTTGCAAGTGCCGTGAAACTCTTATGTGAAAGTTTTCTCCCTGTCTGTCTGCTGGGATGTTGTATCCCTCCCTGGGTGGAAATCCGCCTCTTGAATGATATAAACGAAATTGACGGGTATCGTGAGGCCACTTACCACGTCAGTGCCATCTACAGCCACATGTCCCATGCACCCTGGGCCAGAGATGAACTCGTCGTAGAGATCCGAGAAGTAGTCCATGTCGCCCCATGCCTTGCTTATTTCGTGTGTCACAGCGTGCTTATCCGAAAGTAGGGCGCGGCGAATGGATATGCTGCTCATGGTGAGTGATCAAGATGGAAGCTCTCTGAAATGATTTAACACATGTTTTTAGTTTTAGAAAGGGTTTGCGGTACTTGCTAAACGAATATGTCGTAATAAGCGTGAGGTAGATTAGAGTACGAGTTTTAGTTTGAGTAAATAGAAGCACATCGACACAATATTAGTGACTTTGTGCTGGGGGCGGGGGGGGGGGGGTAAGGCAGACAGACAGAAACATACTATTCTGCTTCCTTTCTAAAGTATCAAGGATAAACTTCAAGCAGTTTTCCATAAAGTGAAGGTTTTACGGTGCTCACAACCACATAAAAATAAAAGATAACATAACATAACATAAGATAACATAAGATAAGGTGATATTTACCGTCCAAGAGGAAAATTCTTCTTGCCTGTACAGGGCCGTTAAACACATGCAAGTCAAGATAAACATAGAAATTAAATGTCATGATAATGTGTGCGCACCTCATACTTCCTCGAGCCTACGTCATGCCACAGGCGCCCGATTCCATAATAATAAGTTTCCACCTTAGCTGTTCCGAAGATAATATCATTATCATCACTTAACGCCACACTTATCTTTCTCATTGCATTATCCTCGCATCATTGGCAAGCCTCGGAGAGATCGTTATTCCTTTGTTGTGATTTCCTCTAATCTTATACTTTGAAGGTAAACCGTAAAGGCAACATCAGAAGTCATCATCCCCCTGTGCCAGGTCTGCGACAGACATCGACGATCATGGTTCTCCTTTCATTCCTTTGCTCGGATGCTCTAAAGCCACATTTCCCTGATCTTTCCCCGTTACCCGTTTGTTTAGGTTCCAAAATCAGAAGTATCCAATGCAAAAACAGTGTATCTGCATTTCTGGAAAATAGACATTGTTCCTTTGTGTACAGGTTTCATGGTCATTCTGGGTTGTTTTTTTTTAAGTCAGCAATACCTAGCAGTAGGTACTAAAATATTATGTCTTTCGGTGTAATGGTTCGTTGCTTCGCCTCAGTATGCAGGGTATTCGAGTTCGATTCCCGACTGGGTATTTTATTGACGGTATGAAATACTTGACGCTCCCAAGAAGAGCACATTCGTAGTTCTACAAACTACCACCGCCAAGCCACGTCGGTATAATTATCAGAGACGGCGGTAGGTCTGGTCAGTATGCTAGTGTTTAGATGCCAATAAATAGCAGCGTGCATTGTATACTTTCCAGGAAATTGAGATCATCATCATTTTCATCATCATCATCATGTTCATCATTGTTGACAGCTCGAAGATGAAAAGACAATAAATTGTGGGAATTGCAAAATTTATAATACACTGAATAAGTTCAAAATCTCGCCCTGGCGGCTTCGTAAGGAACATGGGAAAATAATAACGGTAATCATCGTCGTAATTACCATCATCACCACCATCATAATCGTCACCATCATCATCATCACCACCATCATCACCAGCATCACCATATTCATCACCATCATCATCATCACCATCATCATCATCATCATCATCATCATCATCATCATCATCATCATCATCACCATCATCATCATCATCATCATCCACT